CAAATGACAAACACTGCCTCTAATGCGTATTCCGAGTACTAATCGAAGTTTGTGACAATATGGCCGTCACAGTTTCGCAAAATCATAATGAATCGATTAAACTGCGTTAAACTGTTAAAATAAAACCAATGTCGGAATATGATGGCGTTTTATTGTCAACCAAAAGTATGTTTTAGCGTAGATGGCGCTGATATAAATGGATATTTGTATGTATAGACGGTGGCGCCGCCCTACTCAATTAAACACTGAACTGCAGCGTTTCCAATCGTTGAATAAAACAGTAGAAATAAATAGATTTTAATTCGTTTCAATAATTAAATTAAATATTAAATTTTCGTTTTAATAATTATATAATCGGCTTATCACGATTGTGACACAAAAGTGAGGTTATGTCAACCAATTAATTTTTATTAATTTAATATTTTTTAATATTGGGGACAGAAAATCTCATAAAATAAAAAACAAAAGATTTTTTATTTTCAAAAATGTAAAAAATTAAAATCTATTCATTTCTACTGTTTTATTTTAACAGTTTAACGCAGTTTAATCGATTCACTATGATTTTGCCAAACCGTGACGGCTATATTGTCACAAACTTCGATTAGTACTCGGAAAACGCATTAGAGGTGTTGTTACTTACAAGGTTTATATAGGAAATCCTTCACCATGATGGATTCTATTCTACCTTCGATTTATGGAATTTGGAGCCAATAAAATAACCTAAAAGTCCATATTTTCATTGAATTTCAAAATTATCCAAATTCATGTATGGAAATGTTTTGAATCTTCAATTTGAAAAATATCTGTCAAGAAGTTTCTGATATTAAATAAAAGGGGTTTATTTCACTGGGAAATCATAAAAATTTGTAGTGAGCAAGTCACCGTGAAAACTTGTGAATCTTATTTTTTTACCAAAATACATAATATCAGCAGGTTTTAGGAATTTTCAATCAAGAATAAGGGTACCTCCAATGCAATTTTTTTTGTTTTTTTAGGTTTTATTTTCGAATCGCTGTCTTATATCAAATGAAAAGATGAAAATTCATCTATATCTTGGATCTGGAGACCATTGTCCAACATTCCATTGGACATAATTTGATTCATAAACAGAATTTAATTCATAAACTGAAAGTCCAATTTGATTCATAAACTGAAAGTCCAATTTGATTCATAAACATAAAAAGTCTAATTTGATACGTAAACGAAGTTCAGAAAATCTCAAAATATCTCCCAAAAAATGTAAAGATGTGTTAACATCTCTTGAATTTGTTGAAATCCCCCGAATTTGTTCATATTTATTCATATTTAAGTGCGCGGAATCCCCCTAGAAAAAATTCAATTCAGTTTTATGACTGAACTGAACAAACCAACTTGTTTTATTTAGCTAAAACTCTACCCTTTAAGGCCTGTTTTAGATATGACACAAAATTTTATAAGTAGTTCCAACCTATCAAAAAACACAGTAACTCTATTAGTTTGTATCAAAGCTTGTATATTTTGGCTTTGATGAACCGTGTATATGGTCAGTATAGTAGGTAATTTTATCAATTGGGAACAATTGATACTCAATGATTAGTAATCATTGATTACAAATATAATTGATATTAATTCATTGTTAAAAATTAATTTAATGTGGCGCACAGTTAAATAACATTCGAATTAAATACATTTTGGACAATAGGTGATAGGAATATGAACCTCTATTTTAATTAAGAATTGTTTCTTGGCTTAATTGATCCTAATTCATAGTTTAATTTCTAACTAAGTCTTTTTTGTTCTTTTTTCTTCCATTATGACGCTAATTTTGACCGTGAATACGTGACTGATAATGGATGTATTTGCGCAATTTTTTATTACGTAGTCGCAACAATTGCAGCAACCGAAGCAATCGCAAGTGATATTATTGATTCAACACTGGCACATGTCGATGATAGGAATGAAACAGGTATATTGGGAAAGATTTCAAAAGTAAAACAATGAATTTACAGGATATTTCCAACTTCTTACCATAAGATAAAATTGGTACCACCAAGAAGTAAAAAGGTTAAAAAAACCATTCTTCTTCTTCTGATCAATGGGGTTTCTGAGCTTTTTTACTACTAAATGGTACAAATACTGTAGACCATACAAATCTAATTTGGGCTCATTTTTATTCAGATGCGGTTAATTCAGTTACGCTGGTCAATATGACGACACATGATCCAAGTAATACAATACAATTTTCAAGCAGCAGTGACAACAGCGTGAGTCGAGATATGCTTGATGAGATTGAGGAAACATTCAATATAACAAATCCATCATCAATTAATACATCGTTTAGACCGACTTCACAAATCAATGATTTTTTTTCATCTACATTGGATGAGTTTCGAAACTTAACACTTAATAATATTGTTGACGATTCATCTGATGAAAATGATGATGAAGATACAGCTCATAACAATTTTGCGGAAAATTCGGTTACATCTAATAAGAAGTAAACATTCATGTAACGTTTTCCGTATAATTTTACTCTGAAAGTATATCAATCTTAGCCATTCTGTGCCCATTTCCGCGTGAAATGGAACATTTAGATTATATATGCAAGATTGCAATAAAAGATTCCATTGGAGTGATTTCTCTTGTTTTATTTACATTAAAGCAAATATGTGAACACAGGACACTTTATTTAACGTATTTAACGTATTGAATTCCTTTTGTTGAATTTTCCTTATTTGCTATTGGATGGCAAGAAAAATACCTAACGATGAAATACTATTCACGAAATATTAATCGCAATCCAGACTTTCAAGAGCCACCATATAATCCAACACCCAAAATAAATAGTTTTACTCTAGAAGTTAATTCTTTGCTCTGAGATAATAATATCAGCTTTGACTGCATCCCGTTCGAACAATTGGTGTCTTTTGAAAGGCGCACACACCATTTCTGCGCCTTTTAATTAAATGACGAGAAAAAGAATAAAGAACACATCGTATGACTCGTATATAAAAAGCGTGTACGAAAACAGCATAGTAGTTCATTCGATTTTTTGTATGCTAAAATGCTGAGACCATACTTCTTTTTCGTTTGAATCTCCATTGTGCGGCGAAGATCCGCACAAAGAGGAACAAAAAATACCAAAAATAAATACAGGATTTACTCGCTAAAAATTTTTTTAAAAAACATTTACAATTTTGTAACACAAAATATAAATATTGCAGTAATTGCCAGCAGAAACTATTCACCACTATCTCACATATTTGAATGAAATCGCCGTAGAATTCACTGGAATTCATTCGTTTGCTGAAAAATTCAGTTAATTTAGATATTATTATAGAATTCAGTCGTTGAAAATTTTGAATTAAGCCCCTTAGTAAAAGGTGAAAGCTAGGGGCTTTCATCATTCGTTCATACAAATTTATACACAATATTCACGTCCTATTCATCATATATACGATTAAAATTTCTCGCCTATACCAGTGAATAATGTGTATTTTAAACTGCAGTGTACACACACACACAGTATAGCTACACAGAATCGAAGAAGATCCGCACAAAAGAGAATGAAAAAACATGCCATAGACGAAATATCAAGCGAAATATACACGAAATATACACCAAATATATGCAGTTATGCACATTTATTTGCGCGTATTACAGATGATTTTGCAATATAGTTCACTACTTACAGTATAAATCGTATACATTTGAAGATAAAAGCCCCTGGATAAAAGGGTGAAAGTTACCTACAAAATTCGCCATTACAAGCTCAGGATGATGATGCTGCTCCACAGACAGTTATTTGGCACCGCGATATTGTTGCTGCATAATGCGCATAATGTCAAAGGTATAAATCATTTGAAAATTGAGTTTATTCATTGTTAATGTTCTTGTTTGGTTTTTGCTTCTAATTACATAGTACCTGATTCGTTGAGAAGACTTGAAGAGAATGCACCGAATTCAACCAATAGCAAAACAGCAGCACTGAATACAAAAATTATATTTTAAAAAAAATATTATAACAATTAGTTAGAGTTGACTGAAATGATACTCAAACATAGAATTCTACCGTGACCATATGCCCGGATCCACAATGGATGTATTTGCATTGACAATTGTTTCTTGAGAATTATAATTTCGTAAAAAATTGAAATTATCTTGGGAATTTTTCTATATTATTAAACTTATCAAATAGATAAAACCATTTTTATCCACAAATGCATTTTTTATTATATTTATTCTCATATAGCAATTTTATAGCAGTTTAAACAATGGTTTCGATTGTTCTCCGATTTTGTCAATTTGAATTTCGATTATTTTTTTAAGGAAACCAAAATAATCATAGGAAAATAGTTTTCATGTCGAAAAAAAATTAATGCATTGGAGGGTTAAATAGTATTGTGGTTGGTCTCTGTAATGAAATCAAACAATGCTCGATGAATTTGTTTGGAATTTCATCTGGACCACAGACATCATCCCGTCCCTCATAAGTAAAAATGGAACAAATTCGCAGTGGATGGCGCTTATAAATCGATAAACACGCTAAGATTTTATTAGAAGAAAAATGAAAAATATTGAAATATTTTTAAAGTTATTTGAAGGATTTCAATTTAAATAAATTTAAAAGATGTGAACGCCTTAGAATAAGAACAACTTATTGTTTGGTAGCATATCGAAACGCGACTTCAAACGGTTGCATATCAAAGTGAGACAATGTTTTGTTAACAACGGAATAAAGAACATTGACTTTTTATTATACAAAATTACAAAATATGTAAATTTTGTTTTGTGTTGATAACTAGCTACTGTTCTGCCATGTTTTAGTAACAGAATTTTGTTTCGCTTTGATATGAATTTTGTTTCGCGATTCGACGGTGACGTTTGAAAAACAATACGAAAAATATTTCGCACTCATGCCTGCAGGCACACAGTCTTACTCTAAACTGTGTGTACGATATAAAGAGAATAAAATGCGAGATAGCATTGGACAACGATTTGAGTGACATAGATGACAAATTTTTACGTTCTGATCACACCAGATGATATAGAGTATAGACGACTTAGCTGTGTTGAAGAATTGAGAAAAAAATTGTTTTTTTTTTTTCACTTTTTGTGCTCTATATCGAGTTTTCGAGAGTTTCTTATAAGATTGCCATGAAGATGATGAAAAATTGCGAAAAATGAAAAAAAGTATGAATTTTTTTCTTCGATTTACAAATACTTTTAAATTTTCTGTATCATCTGGTGAAATCAGAATGAAAAAACTCGCATTCATTATCATCTAAATAACTATTGGCTTTCGGCCACTATTCAATAGGTGTTAAATGGGAAGTTTATATGAGACTCTCGGAGACTCGGTATGGAACACTCAAAGAGTTAAAAAAAAATCAGATCGTGAGTGATAAGGAATGCGATTTTTTTTATTCTAATTTCACCAGGTGATACACCCACTACAAACCCGTGGAACAAGTGAACAACAGCGCTTTAACAGGTGGACCACGCGAGAAACTTATCAATCCCTATTAACAAAACTACACTTGACAGTTATTGTATTGAATTTTGTACGGGATTTATTTATTGTATAAATATAAAAAAAAAAAACAATGTGAAATGTGAATAAAAAAGATAGAAAATTAATGTCGTGACGAATTATGTAAAAAAATAAATATTATATTCTAATTACTCAGCGGAAAGTATGCTTGAATACGCGTATACCACTGCAAAGCGTTACCAATATATACAAACACACAAAGGTCGACTCGTTTTAGATAACATTTTTATTTTTTACACCTAATGACGGATCATTATTTTTGTTTTTATTTTATTAATAAAACTAAATTAAAATTAAAAAATTTAAGTTTTTTACGAATGCGATTGCGTGGTTTCATTGCTCTGCTGTTCAGCAGCAGCAGGAACATATGGAGGTTAGGTGTCCTCCTGATTCAATTTTATTGTATTATTTTTTTGTTGTT